ATTCTACCTCAAATTCTTTCCCTGCCCCCACCCCCTGCCCCAGCACAGCCTTAGCACAGACCTCCTTCTAACACATAGATCCCGATGGCCCCCTCCTTACAACCATCCTGGATCCCGTCTCACCCCCCTCCAACCCACCCTCCTACTGCTCAGGAACGCCTATCTCATCATGCTCCTCTCCTTCCTCTGAACCTTCCAGTACTGTGCAAAGTTCTCGGCAATCCGGCCCAACTCCCCCTTCAGCCTTCTCCCTTACCACCAACCCTCAGAGACTCTGCCCCAGTCATGAGAAACTTGGTTGCCTCCCAAACACACCAGGCCACTTCACACTTCTGAACCAGTTCCCATCCTCTGGCCTGGCGAGCCCCACCCATCCTCCTGATTGCAGCTCTAAAATCGACACCAGTGCTGAGGCTTTCTTTCTTCAGCCTCTCCCTTACTGCCTGAAGCAACCTCCTCACAGCTTCCCACCAGCAAGCAGGCTGTCAGCTCTCAAGTGCAGGCAAGGATCATGCTCTCCACCTGCGGACCCAGCCCCTGGCTGGCATGATGTCTGATACACAGCGGGCAATGAATAAACAAGTATTAAGCATTTGGCAGAGACACTGAAAATATGTAACTGGACATAAAGGTAAGGTGCCACCTTTATCAGTTCAAATCACCCAGGTTTCAAATACAGAACCTCAAAGATACGAGTGTGTGGCTGGACTAGGGTAAAGAAGGGGGCGGGAGGTTCTACTCAAGAGTGTCAGCATTACAGAATGCCCCCAAGACAAAGGAGAGTCTGAGCGCCAGCCTGTTCCCAGTGCCCACGTTCTCATCCTGGAGGTACGCTTTGGGAATGCACACCTACCCCACAACCGAGCCTTTTCCCATCTTTTTAATCTCTCACTGAAGCCACAAGTGTCTGCAGCATTAAAAGGACCCTCAGCACAGCCGATGACACACTGCAGGACTGATACTGGCAAGCTGGAGCCCACACCTACTCCCCCAAAGGCAAGGCACTAGCCTGTTGTATCCCCTACCTGCTGCAGCCTCATCATCAGGCAAAGAACAGCCAGCATCAGAACACTCGGGGCCTGTTCCTGACTTGGCTATTTCAACTAGACTTGATGCATAGATATAACCCACAGTCACACTGAAGTACAATCCCTAACAAGTCTTACCATGGCCTAGGGCTTTCCTGCCACTTCCAAGGCACAGAGCTAGGACGCTGAGCACTGCCAGTCAGCAAGCAAGGCGGCAGCAGAGCACAGCGACGGACTAAGGTGTCTGCTCCCACACTGTGCCTGCTCCGCTCACCTCGTGTGCTGCATTCCTCCTCCCTGACCCCCAGGGACCCAGCACCCTCCTGCAGTCTCATCCTGGCCAGCATCAAGACAAGACCTCCCAGTGCACCCCAATACCATGTCACACTAAGAGTCAGACAACGGCACCAAAACCCACTGTGAAGAGTTGCCCTGCTGCAGGGGATCTGCACTTTAGGAAGCCACTGCTAACTGAGACATCGCCCAGTCTGTGAAAACCCAACCCCCTGCCCCACCCATTCACAGAAGCAGCAAATTTCCCTCCACTCTGGTATGTATTGCCATTCTTGTACGTATTTGCTTTCTACAATGGGAGACATGAGGGGGTGACTAGTAATTATAGATTCCTAATGCCCCAGAATTGTCTCTGGGGACAATTTTTCAGGGCCTTTCCCCTAGGAAATGAACTTAAGTAAAGCAGCTACTAAGAAGCCCCTGAAAGTGGGATTTAGTGTTGGCTCACAGCCACGAATATTGCCAGTGGGGTTTGGTTTAACCAAAATTTGAAACTGGAAGTATTTCTGGTTCCTTTCCCCCAAGGGCTGGAATGTTAGAAGTTGGAACTCCGACATAATTTACATTCTCGGTGACTGAGATTCCTCCCACTCTCCCCTACCATAAAAGGAGGGGCCAGGACATCAGGAATCCGAGGGGTGACACGCAGGGTGGGGGCAAGCCGGGGATCCCGAGGCCACCGGCCTGCGCTCCCAAAAGGCCTGTTTCCTATTCTTGAAGAGGGTTTCCCGTCTGATCGGACATCCAGATGTCCCAAGAGGCTGAGACCCGGCCGCTCACCTCTCGCGCTGAACGGAGCTGCTGGCGCAGCGCGTCCTTGCAGCCATAGGGGCCGCCAGCGCCTGTGCCGCGGGGCTGGAAGTGCGCCTCGACGCGCGTGGCACCGCGGTAGGCGCCCTGGTAGAAGGCCGGCCAGCCAAGCTCCAGCAGCGGCGGCTCCAGATCCGACTGCTCGGGGAAGTAGGTGCCGGACGAGCAGTCATGCGAGGAGCCGAAGGAGTCCTCGGCCTCTCCTACCACGCCTTCCTCGCGGGGCCGCTCGGCCGTCCGCAGAATGGTGCGCACCTCATCGGGGTTTAGGAAGCGGCCAAGGCGCTCGCGTCGCAGAAAGGCTGCGAAGGCGTCCGCGCCGCCTGCCAGCAGCTCCTCGAGCGCCAGGCGCTGCGTTTCGCTGTACAGCTCCCCTGGATTGGGCGGCCCGCCCGGAGACAAGCAGGCAACGGGCAGCTCGTCCAGTCCCTCCGACAGCAAGGCCATGGTGGTGCTCCGACCCGACCAGGCTGGGCAGAATGCGCACCCGCAAGCCACTTTATAGGCCCTTTGAATCAAATCGACCCGCGCCATTGGCCGCGCCGCCCCGCCCCGGCTGTCCCATTGGCTGTCTTCCTCTAACGGTAGAGCCTGGACGCAGAGCACGCCGCTACGGCCCGCCCCTTGATGTACATTGGCTGGCCCGCGGCCCGGCCCCACCCCTCATTTTTGCACTGGCTGCCCACGCCGTTTAGCCAAGTTGGTTCTCGGATTGCTCTTGGAATTTAAATTTGACGATTCAGTCCTGCTCCGACGTAGTCCTGCTCCGCCCTGCGGGGCACTGATCTCTTCAGTCAGCTGAAGAGGGGGCGGGCCTGATTGGCCGCACCGCCACGGGTGGCGGCGCGGGCTGCGGAGCCCGAACTGCAGCCGGAGAGCCCTGCACTGCCGTCCTAACGCTCCCCCTGCCGGCCGGCCCTCCTAAGGCCCGGAGCGGTCACACCGAGACACTGGGATTTAATCATTCATTCCTTCAAAACCACCAGTCCCTCATAACAGCCACTCCTTTGATTATACCCTCAGGTAGCATTCTCTTCTCTCACTTTATCGTGTTTTTGCCTGGCAAAATCCCAACCCGCTCTCTACCCGCTTCGCCTCTGCACCTGGGCAGCCATGCCGTGCTGGGGAAAAGAAAACTACCTGGCTGACGGTGCCTTAAATTTCTGATCTCAAGTGCCTGCTAGCCTACATTTCCCTCACTCATTCTACCTTTTCTTCTCTCTTATTCTAAGTTTACTTCCTATTTCACTGAGAAAATATAAGCAATCAGAGAAGACTTCCACGTGCTCTGTCAACGTGTATCCACCCACCCTCATCTGTGCCTACACACTGAGTCTTCTGTTACTATTGATCAACTGTCCCTTCCATTTGTGCCCCAGCTGCCCGCCCCTCTGGTACTAACCGGTGCCTCTCCAGCAATTCTGTCTCCTGGATCATCCACTTCCGTTCTTTACTAGTTCATTCCTGTCAGCATTCAAACATGCTGAAATATTTTTCATCGTAACCCTCTCTTGAACCGACATTCCTCCCAGGGGTGTCCCACCCACAGCCCAAGGGCTGCATACAGCCCAGGATGGCTATGAATGCGGCCCAACACAAAATCGTAAATTTACTTAGCCGTGAGATTTGGTTTGTTTGTTGGTTGGTTTGTTTCATTAGTGTTTGTGTATGTTTAATGTGTGCCCCAAGACAACTCTTCTCCCAATGTGGCCCAGAGACACCAAAATTTTGAACACCGAGTGAGACCTTCCTCCTCATTTCTCTTTGATAGCAAAAAACCTCAAATAAGTTGTGTGTACTTGCCGTCTCCAGTTTTCCTCCCATTCCCTCTTGAACCCTGTCTAATCAAGCTCATGCTTCCTTTGCTCTACCAAAACCTTGTCAAGGTCATCGTGAGCTTCACAGTGCTAGATCCCATAGTCAATTTTCAGGCCCATTTTCTGTGTGTAAATGAGAAAGCATCTGTACAACTGTAAAGTGCTCCCTACAAGTGAGAGGTTAGCATTATTATTTAGAAACCAATAAGCTTTTTAAGGAGATGAATGCCCACCACTGCAATGATACTTCTGTTTTCCCCAACCCCAACCCCAGTCTTTTTGTGAAGTTTTTCAGGCCCAAGTATGGGGCTTTGCATGTGTCCCGGCTCTAGCATCCAGTGTCCAGAATGGTCCAAGAAAGCACTCTTTCCATCTCCTTCTGAGATACAACAAACGTCAGCAAATAACAAAGCCAAGGACCACGGTCCGGGGCTATGCAACCACACAGCTTGTCAATGCCTCTATTGCCTGAGGGGAAAGTGAGAATACCCAGGGTCTCACCTGCTGTGTTGTTGTAATGGTGTGAAGTAGTATATAGTATTTTACCTCCTCACTATAGGCTATATGAGGAAAAGGACTGGAGTGGGGTGGGGAGGGGGAGAGGATAGGACAGGTCAGGGCATGTTCAGAACAGAACACAACAGAATAGAGGGGTAGCCCTGTTATATATACACATATGTCATCAGACAAACCTGTGAAAGTATTGTATATATATTTTATATATATAATTATATATATTTATATATACATATATATGGGCTATTATAGAGTCCTATGTTAATTTCAAAAGGAACATAGACAGAGTGAAGGCCATTCCCAACCATTCATCTTTTCTTGAATTCACCAGGTTTCACCGCCTCCCAGTCTAGAAAGACATCCGCTCCATGTCTGAGACCTCAGAGCTCCCTCTGCATTAGGGCACCCCTGGGAGAGTCTGCTGTGCTGGGGAGCAGGGACCCTCCACCTCCTATCCCAGGCATCACCTCTTTGTGAATTCCACTCAGCACAATTCAAGAGCGCGCACAGCAATGACCACAGCCACATCAACAGGTGTTATTAAAAGGAATTTAATAATCTTAATTAAAAACTCAACAGCGAATTCCGTCACAGGCCTTGGCAGCTGAAGCAACTCCAGGGTCATGCCCCTTTGGGACGTGGTTGGGCCGCAGTCTTGGACACGGGCCCACCACTGCTGCGTGGCGAGGAGCGACCTGAAAGTTATTTCGATACAATATCAAAGATCCGCATGGATGTTTTTTTAAAAAAAGTTTTAAATATATTAGACTCTCTTGATTGCCATTTTTACACAAAGCTGCTGATACAGTATACAGAGTTTTAACTTTTTTTCACATAAAATACATTTTCTTAAGTGTTCTCTGTACATCAGTGGCTTCTGGTCTGGTGAATTATTGCGGAGGGCTGGGGGTCTGCAGACCTTTCCTGGGTGCGCAGAGCCAGGCCCCGCACAGTGGCACTTGCGTGCCCATGGGAAGCAGGTCCTCTGGCCAACTGGCCAGCAAGAGACTCCTATCAAGGAGAGGGCTAGAGCTTCTGGCAAAGGGATCATTTCTGCGGAGTTACTCACTGACCACACGACCCTTTGTTCTTATGTGCCCTGGGGGAGGGGAGGCTGTCCCCAGGCTACAATAGCAGGAATTAAATAGAGTCCTTCTGAGCATCTTGTAAGGGGCTCCTCCTGGAAAGTGCCCCAGTATCCTGCTCTGGGAGAGCAGGTGGAAGAGAGAGCTCAAGATCAAAAGGTATCTGACACCGGTAACTCAAATGGTCTTACATTACTACAAAGCCAGCAAACTGTGGTGGGATAGGACAGGGGACATACCCTTGTTAGCTTTCTAAGGTCATTTAAATTGATAAAACAGTGCAGAGCAGTTTCACCGATGCTGTGTAACTGATGGAGAACTATATCCTGAAGTCTTCAGCAGACCTGGGTCTAGATTCACTCAGCTTCCTTGAGCCACTGGCCAGAAACTCACTCTCTGGTGACAGCCACCAATTTTCAATTGTCTGGGGCATAGGGTAGGAGCGAGGGCCAGAGCTCACAGTGAGCCACATGGCACCTGCTCTGGAAGTAGCCTCCTTCCATCTGCCAGGAACTGCCACCAGTGTGGGTCTTGGCAGGAGCTGGGCATCTGGTCAACCTTGCCAGCATTCTCTCAGCTCTGTGATTCATACCTGCCAGGAAGACAGGCAGATTCATGAAGGAAGGCTTCGATGTTAAAGGAGAAGCTCTTTTTCTTCTTGTCCATTGGTGGGGAAGGAAGACTACATAATAAATAGCAAAAATGAGTGAGAGACAGTGAGTTTAAAAACCTGAGATGCACTGGGCAGCAAATTCCAGACTCCTTATTCTTCTAGACACTGACCTCAAACTGCTATGACATAGTGCCTCCGAGATGCTGGCCTGAAGGCAGCTAGGAGCCCTGAGGGGTCCATATAGGCTCAGGATGGCATCAGCCTGGAACCCAAGTTCCAGCATCTGCATTTCGTGGCACATGTCCTCTACAGGTGGCCATGACAGCTGTTTCCTGGCTACAGGGATTCATACTCTAGGGAGACTAAGAGCTGAAAAGCAAAGGGATGCTGGACCAGGATGCAGTCACTCAACCACAGACAACTTGAATGGGCTGCTGCCAACACCCATGGTCCTCAAGGGATGGAAACCATAAAGGGCAATCTCCTCACTCTATCTTGTTCCTCCTTTATCCCCAGAACCTAACTAACATAGCGCCTCGGATGTCACAGCTACTTAGCAAACTTCATGAGTGAATAAACAGATGGCCTTGGCCCAGCTCGCCCTTCCACACCCATGAGACCTACAGGAAAAGTACCCCAGGTACTAGAAGCCCCAACAGGGAATGGTTTATCCCTGACTGACAACATGAGCTTGTGCTCAAGAGTCTTCAGTTCCCAGCCTTCTGGGTGGAGAGGAATGGCCCAGGAGGCAGGAGGCAAGGGGGGAATGGCCAGAGGGCCTAGAGTAGGCAATAAATGCCTTCAGTCTCTGGGCCCTGAGCAAGCAGATCCCAAAAATCTGCCCAGCTCTCTCCTGAGGAGTATGTGGCTTCCCTGGGCACTGCCAGCTTGCAGCTTAAGTTGGCTCAAGAGGACTTGCAGTGTTAGTCTGATCTGAACACTGTTTTAAAGCCGAAGGTATGTGTGTTTTAGGTCATCCCTGCCTTGCCCCAGCCATAGGCTGGGATGATGGAGAGCCCACCCTAGACCCCAGGGACACAGGAGGCATCATACACATATCTGCAGTCTCCTGACCAACCCCGCCACCCTCTACTGGAACTGCCCTGGAGTTGGGGTGGCGGTGGCCTGGTGCTGTGACCCTCCCTGTACCCAAGAGCCACCAGGGGCACAGGGACTCTCCTGAGGCCCATGCTCTCCTGCCCAGCTGCCCCACTCCTGGTGGAGCATCAGCTGGGCCCCCTGGGAGCCAGCTCCCTTCCAGTTACGGGGAGAGGGTGCGGGGCCCACAGTGAGGACTGGGACTAGCAAACAGCAGACCCATCACTAAGGCTGTGGTACAAGGGGAACTTCTCCAGCCACAGCCCCCTGGCCCAGGTACCCTGCCCTCCCCACCCCCCTGCCCGGGGAGAATTTTTCATAGGCTCAGAAAAAAGGGGATTAAAGGGAACCCAGATTTGTCCCCCAAGTCACAGAATCTAGATCTAGGGGGCACCGTCAGAGCTCTAAGGAGGTAGTTTTAGGACAAATAAAAGGCGCACAGAGCAGGAAACAAACCTGCTCGTTAGTTACACCAATGGGTTTTGGCTGAGCCGGTGGACAGCACCCATCTCACGGGCGACAGTGTCAAGGGGGCTCATGAGAGAATGCAGTGAGAGTGGTGGGCAGCCTGCCCCTTGGGTGAACTGAATGGGTGGTCACACAGCTGGCTCCTGGCATGGGCAAGGCTGTGGGGAGCAGGCCTGTGTCCGGCCTCCCCAGCATCGGGGAGACTGGGACTATGAAACTGTAGGGCTGGGGTGAGACCGACTCCAGTCCCACCACCACTCTCCTGAATGCAGTTTAGGGGTTGGCCATGGGCACCTTGGATTTGCAGGCCTGGGGTGTCCCCACTCTGGCAGGAGCAGGCAGGCAGCCCCTGGGCCAGGCAGGAGGAACTCACGAGGGCCAACTGGCAACTTGTTTCACTGGGCATTTCAGAAAAGGCAAAGCTGAGCCTGGGGTCCTAAGCATTCACCCTGGGAGTGCAGGCCAGCATGGGGCGTACCCAGCGGCCCCTCACTGCTCCCTCAGATGGCCCAGTCTGAGGAGGGCTCACCAAGAATTTACCAACATGAATTCACTCCTCTCTTTGGAAAAGCCTTTCCAACGGAAGGTCCTCAAGTTCATTTTTCCATCACAAGTCAGTAAAACCCAGCTATCATGGCATTATCCATGAAAGCAGTCAAATTCGGTTCCCTCCCACATAGAGTTTAACAGCCTGCAATAATTCTTGTATCAAATGCACTTTGGGAAACATTTCGTTCCCCCCTCCGCTTTTTGATGCTTCCATCCAAAAACAGAATGGGATTTGGATTATTCCGGGAATGGAATAGCTTGGTTTTCCACCCCAGCCCCTGGGTGGTTGCACAGCTAACTCCTGGCGTGGGCGAGGCTGTGGGGAGCAGGCCTGTGCTCATTCCATCTACCCATGTGGGTTCAAGGCTCCCTCTGAACACAGAGAGACCCGCCTGCTCTTGTCAGATGCACATGGTGGCCCAGACCCTGGTAGGACTCTGGGCAGGACTATGGGTCTCAGCTTAGCAGGCCCCCTCCTCTGCTAAAGCCACATTGGCAGTGGTGACAAAAACCCTCAGTCATAACCTCAATCCTCTTGGAAACAGCCCACAAATTCTCTGTCCCACCTGCTTCCCATGAACCCCCTGGTCATTTGTACACATGTTGGTGAAGTGTGTGTTATGTGTTATGTGACATGCGAGTACTGGTCCAGAGAAGATTTCACCCACAACTGAACCGGAGCCCAGCCCTCCCTCCCCAAATCATACCAGAGGGCTGGGCGGGAAGCCATGAGGGGCCTTGTTTCTGACGGCAGACGATGCAGCAGGAAGCACTGGGGAAGCACTGCGGCAGCTGCGCTTGAGCTGCGGGCAGCGGGCTGAGAGGTGGGGTCGGCCTTCCTCTGGAAAGCAGAGCCCATCTCCCGCCGGGTGCTGCCCTCTGAAGCTTCCCCAACCAGGGCTGCCGGGCTGGCCTGGATTCCAGGGACCCCCTCCCCAACACATCTCTCTCCTCTGTCATAGGGAGACTAGGAGATCCGGCAACAGCCATGGACCTTCTCTTCCATCTCCTCTATGGGGGCCTTGAACTTCAAGAGCGGGGGATCGCCGCTGGTGACCGTGTAATACACCGAGGTGCCATTGCTGCTGTATGGTGAAGTTCTGCCTCCGATCAAGGGGGCCTTGCCTTCGCTGCTGCTCTCGCCCGTCCTGGCTATGCCGCTGCCCAGGTGGGTGCTCAGGAAGGGGTGGCTGAGCAGCTTGGCTGCAGCCCGGTGCCGCTTCAGCTCCAGGAGCGTCTGGGAGCTCTGTTCCTTGTAGCCAGTCCAGGGCGGCGTGGCGTCGGCCATGCCGGGGTTGCCGTAGACCATGCTGTAGTCGGGCACCTCATGCACTTTCCAGACGTCGCCGTTGGACAGTGCGTACTGGTAGGCGCTGACCGGAGCCCGCAGGCCATTCTCGACAGGCATGTCCATCTCGCTTCGTGGGATCTTGCTAGGAAACTCCGAGAGCAGCACGGGCTTCTCCAGCCGGGGGTTCTGCAAGTGCAAGGGCAACATTACCAGCTGGCTGGAGTGGAGGACCTGGACCCACTCCCAACCTGCACCTCTGCTGAGGGCATTTTTGTCTGGACCTGTCCTCCCTCCATGCTCCCTAACTGGGCAATAGGACCTCCATTTTCCTTTGGGGACCTCACTAATCGTTGTGTTTTAGGAGAGCGGACCAACCCCCGTCCTTGCTCCAAGGGCTGGAACATGACCTCAGGCCTGGACAGCCCACACATTCACTACAGGAATTGGTTCAGAGGTGGGTTCTTTTTTTTTTTTTTTAAGATTTTATGTATTTATCTTTTGGACAGGGGAGGAAGAGAAAAAGAGGGAGAGAGAGAAACATCAATGTGCGGTTGCTGGGGGTCATGGCCTGCAACCCAGGCATATACCCTGACTGGGAATCGAACCTGCGACACTTTGGTTTGTAGCCCGCGCTCAATCCACTGAGCTACACCAACCAGGACTCAGAGGTGGGTTCTTGACTGAAACTGCTTTGATGAGATCCAACCCTGAGACTTTCGCTAGAATGACTGGGAAAGAGGAGGTCTGTTCTTATAGGAACTGTGCATGGTAACAATGATAGAAGTTGGAGGCTGGGGAGACACCATGTCAAAGGGCCTGCTTCACAGTGAGGCTGACATGAAGGAAGATGGCAGGAGAGACAGACAGCATCGTGGTGATGTGCATTGAGGCCCTGGATCCAGCGGGGCCCGGCCAGTCCAGCTACCTGAGCCAATAAATTCCTTTTTTCTGTAAGTCAACTTCGGTTGGTATCTGGTCACTTGCAATCCTTTCTCCAAATTCCCAGTATATCTCCACGCCAAGCACTTTTACCCAAAGGTCCCTTCCTCCCAGAAACCCCTGGAAACTAGAGCCACCCAGAAACTATAAATGAAAAGGCTGATACACTTGACAATAACAAAAATGTAAGGCCTAGCAAAAAGTCACCATAAACAAAGTCAAAAGATGCATGACAATACTGGTATAATATCTGCAACATATATGACAGAAAAAGGACTAATTTCCCAAATAAATAAAGAGCTCTTAAAAGTCCATTTTAAAAAGCCCTACTACCCCCCTGATTGCTGTGGCTCAGTGGATTGAGTGCCGGCCTAAAAACCAAAGGGTCGCTGGTTCTATTCCCAGTCAGGGCACATGCCTGGGTTGTGGGCCAGGTCCCCAGTATGGGATGCGTGAGAGGCAACCACACATTGATGTTTCTCTTCCTCTGCTTCTCCTTCCTTTCCCCTCTCTCTAAAATTAAATAAATAAAATCTTCAAAAAAAGGTCCAACCAACTCAAAAGAAAAAAACCGACAAAGGGCACTAATATACAACTCACGGCAATATATAGTGTATAAACATAGGAAAAATATTCAACCTCACTAATAATTAATGACATAAAAATTAAAACAAAATTTTTACCTATCACATTGACAAGTGTTTTTTAATTGATTTTTAGAGAGAGAGAGACATTAATTTGTTGGTCCACTTATTGGTTGATTCTTTTACGTGCCCTGACTGGGTAAGAATGGATTGCAATGGGCCCAGGATTGGCCCATTGATGCAATCCTGGGTAAGGATGCATCAAACCTGCAACCTTGGTGCATCGGAACAGGTGCTCGAACCGCCTGAACCATCCCGCCGGGGCCACTGGTGAGTGTTTTTAGCATTCGTTATTACTCAGTGCTGGCAAGGGTGTGGGAAAATAGCTAGGCATGTAAACTGCTACAATCTCTTTGTTTTTAAAGAAGAATGAATGCTTTGCACCAGCAAGCCCATTTCCAGGGCTTGTTTTCACAGATACACGCCCCAGGAGAGCAAAGCCTGCAAGTCATCATTAGGCAGGTGAGAAATCACGGCATGTCCTTGTACTGGAATATTCTGCAGCTAAGAATGAAGGCCATCGGCGTGAGCTGACTTGGGCATTCCAAGGATCTCCAAGAAATATATAAGTCATGAAGAAAGATAAATAAAGCACAGCTGGAGGCATCTGAAGTGTGCTTTGATTTCTGCCTCTACGGCTCTCTTCTCCCCAACCCCCGCGCCCGGGGACGAGATGGCACAAAGCCTCCGGGTTGCCCTCTCCACCCCAGCCGGCGGATGGGGGCATTTTTGTCTGGACCTTTTGATGGGGGCCACACAGATGGGGGCTCCCTTCATCGGCACCATCATACCTGCCAATGAGATAAAAGCCACATGTGACCTCTCTGTTCACTGGGGACACATGGTCCCATCAAGAGGCGTGGGCACACCGGGCAACCGATCGCTCTGCATCCCGCCAAAGCAATACTCTCCAGAAACGCTTTCAACTGCTCACTGTGTATGGTGGGCAGGCCCCTGCTGGTAGGATCAGCCTCTCCCTTCCCCCCCTCCAGCAACTCTGCCCTGGCCCCAAACTCCTGCCCCTCAAGGGAGACACAGCCAGACACGGACCCCAGTGCATCAGTATGGAGTGGAATAGTGTTCCCCCAAATTCACGGCCACCCCACATCTCTGATCGTGACCTTATTTGAAAGTAGGACCTTTGCAGATGTGGTTAGATTAAGATGGGGTGGTGCTGCATCAGGGTGGGCCCCAATCCAATGGCCGGTGTCCCTCTAATAAGGGAAAACAGAGACACAGACACGCGCCCGAGGAAGAAGGCCGTGTGAAGCCTGGGGCAGGGACTGGAGTCCTGCCGGCAAAAGCCCAGGAGTGTCCGAGCCACCAGAAGCTGGGCGAGAGGCATGGGGCAGAGTCCCCTCAGAGTCCCCGGGAGGGACCAACCCTGCTGACACCTTGCTCAGGCCTAGGCCACAGCAGAGAGACCATCCTCTAGGAAAGCCCAGGGCCATTGGCTACTGCAGGGGCAGGCTGCTTGGAGGTCCTGCCAGCACCCTACTCAGGTTTTAAAAAGACTTCTTCGAATCAAATGTGTTCTAGCAAACACAACTCTCAACATTCTGCTCTGTCTCCCCCACCACACCCCGGGAGTTTCAGTGTCCTTAGCTCCGGGGGTTGCTGCCCTACTGAACCTCTCTTCTGGGAAGCCCAGAATTAGATCGCATGCGTCACGAGCAGGCACATGGTGGTCACTCACTGCCTGCTGATTATGAGACCCTACTGGGTGCCATAGCTCCCAGCTCCGAGGCAAACATGCCTGAGGCTCCCCTCATCAACCACAGTGGTCACCACCATCCGCTTGGGTCCAGCTGGTTTAAATGCTCTGCCCAGCTAACCTCCTTCTGAAGGCTCTCAGATGGAGAGGCCAGGCCAGATTGGGGCCCTGTCCCCCTCCCAAGGCAGTGGCTGACACAGGGCACAAGGACACTCACTGGGTCCTTATTCTCCTGGTCTGTCCTGGTCTCCCTGATGTCCCCGTTGTAGGCTGAGGTCCGCTGGTCCTCGGCCGCGCTCCGCTGCTGCCACAGGATGGCCTCGCCCTCATACTCCTTCCTGTACAGGTTGGTCCTGTCCGAGAGGCTGGCTCGACGCACCACCTTCCTGAAGGGAGACAGGGGGTGCTGGGGGCTGTATCCGGGCACTGCAGGCAGGAGCATGAGTGGGGACCCCTGGCCGCCCGGCCCCTGACTCACCCACGGCTGCCTGCACTGGATGTCCTCCGGCTCAAGGATGATTTGTGCCTCAGCTGTGACTTCATGATGACATCATGCTTGTGTTTTAGCTCCAGCAGCAGGACCTTGAACTCCTCTTCTTCGCACAGGTCTGAAAGGACAGGGAAGTCTGTTGTGGGAGGCAGCACAGGGGGCTGTGCCCCCCACCTCCCAAGAGCCCTCCACACCAGAGGGGCTACCCTCCCAATGGACTGAAAACTCCCAGCATCCTTTGGGGCATGCAGGGAGAGAGGAAAACAATGCCCCCCTATTTCCTGGACTACAACCGAATCCTCAGAGGAGAATAAGAACAGGAAACCCAGGTTCCGTGCAGTCACAACTCCTAAGGCTCCCAGCTATGACTGAAGGAGTCATACACCTTTGATAGTTTCTGGTGGGACTCCTCAACTCACCGCTGACGTAGGAAGTATCAACAGAAACAAGCAGATACCATGAAGCCCAAGCAAAGATGCTGAAATCATCTATCCCCATCCACTCGACCCACATAATGCATTCTTTCATCTATCTAGCTCTTCAGTGACCTAGTCATCCTTCCGTAGGTTTGTTCTTTACCCCTCCTTTTATCCATCCATCCACCCATATTTCCTACTCCATCCACACATTCATCCACTTGTCCATACATTACCCATCCATCCCACTTGTCCATCATCTGCCTGTTCACTTATCCATTAATCTGTAGTCCATTAATTTATTCATTCATCTGTCTGTCCATCTACACACCAATCCAGCACCTATCCTCACCATATATTCATCCATGTATCCCTCTACCCATCAAAAAATTGACAAGATCCTATCAATTGACTTACCTATCGGCATTTCATCCATGGATGTCCTGGCACTGAGACTGGCCCCATGGGACACCAATAGCTCTGCCATTTGCATCTGAAACACAGGAAGAAGCCCGAGTTCCCACTGCCCAGGGTACAGAAGGTCTAGGAGGTGGAGAGAGCACCCAAGGCCTCTTAGCAAGTGACCCAATAGTGGGGCAAAGTTGATTCCCAGGGAAGGCTTCGAACCCCGGGGCCAGGAATCCTGGGATGCAATGGACAGACCCCTCCTCCAGCGTGCCTGGCCCAAGGGACGGAGGAAAAAGGGTCAGTCGTAACTCTAGCGCTGTCAGGTGTCTATGGAGGGACTGCAGCTGCTGCCATCAGCGTTTTGTATCCGGGAACCAGAAGGAGAAACCACTCAAAGCAGAAACTCTGGGACTGTTCTCATTTGGCAAACTTGATTGTTATCCAACTAAAATACAACTTGTCAAATGTTTTTTTTGCAAACTCCCCAGGTCTTTTCACATCCCACAAACTGGCTATAGTCAACACTGTGAGGGGGTCTTGTGTTCTTCCCAACCAACTGCCAGGCCAAAGGACAGCAGGTTGGTCCTGTGCCTGCCCTGCCCACAGCCCTGTGGGTGCAAACTACCTGTCCCCAGAAGGCAGCCGCGTGCAGGGGCTCCCAGCCATCCCAGTCCTTCACGTCCACACGCACTCCGTGGTCCAGGAGGAGCTCGGCTGCTCGTAGGTATCCATTGGCTCCAGCTATGTGCAGCTGAAGGAGAGGAAGGAAGTGAGCACCCCCCCCGGGGGGCCAGTCCCAGGTGTGGAGGTGGGGTAGCCCCCTCCCTAACCCAAGTCTCAGATCATTCAGGGGCCAGTAGAATGGAACAGAATGAGGTGGAAACACCAGCCACATTGCAGAGAATGATTGCATCTGTAGCACAGACCTGGGAGATAAGGCAAAGAGGTGAGCCCTTCTCTCCTGTGGCTGGTCTTAGAGTTCCCGTGGTTAACTAAGGCAGCGGTATCTACAGAGTTCCTACTATACACCCTGAGCCTTGTGGAAGTGGCCTCAGGGGTCCAGTAGGGCAGTTTTAAAATATGCCTACGAATTCATTGACATATATCCCATTAAAAGATGGAGTTTAATTGCCCCTTGAATGTGGACCAGATTGAGTAACTCGTTTCTAACGAATAGGATATTGTAAAGGGGCAGCATGTGATTTCTGAGGCTAGGTCATGAAAGGCATTGCTGTTTCCACCTTTCACTCTCTTGGATCAACCACTCTAGAGCAGGCAGACATCTTGTGAGGACACTCAGGTAGCCTTAAAGAGAGGCAGGTCCCAAGGAGGCGAGAAGCCGAGGCCTCCTGCCAAGAGCCCGCATTTATTTGCCAGCCACCTTGGAAGGGATCATCCGGCCCCAGTCAAGGCTTCAGGTGTCCACAGCCCTGGCTGACATCTTCACTGCGACCTCATAAACGAGCCCAAGCCACCACCTCCCAGCCCAACTGTTCCCGATTCCCTGGCCCACAGAAACTGTGTGCGATGATAAAGACTTCATCTTATATTTGTGATGATAGTTTTGGGATAGTTTGTTATGTGCAATAGTAACCAACACATCCAATGAGGGAACGCCTCGTGCTAAGGCCCCAGCCCTTCTGCCTGACACCATCCAAGGCCTCCGATGGCAGACGGCACCTTGCAGACCTTAGTTGCCCCATGTGCTCAATCTCCCGGAAAAAGCATAAAGTACGCAGCATGTGATGGACACCCAGGAAGTGACTAACATTCTTAGAGAGCCCTTAGCACTCACAAAGTACACTGGGTGAATGGATAAAAGAACAAGAAGGAAATAAGGCAAAGAGGAACCAACTGCCCAGCCAAGGTGGGAGACAGAGGTAGGAGTCCAAGGAAGTCAGCAGAAGACTGGCTAGGAGGAGACAGATGCCCCCAAGCAGAGGTGGGGCCCCCACCACGTGCTGGCCCACTGCAGCTCTAGCTGGTCGTCATTCCGGCCCATGTCCTCACCAGCGTGGCCCCCTGGGCATCGATCCAGTCAAGGTCCTGGCCAGCTGCGATCATGCAGTGGATGTCCGAAATCATCTGCTGCTCGGGAGCCACCCGCATCTCGTTGATTTTCTCTTGAGTGATGCCTGCAGTTGGGGGAGGAATTCAGTCAGCACCCCAGGCCAGGTCCCAAGTTGCAGGGAGGAGACACGGCTAGGGGAGGGCAAGGCTCCTGCTCCCGAGGGCCTGCCAGTCAAGGGGGTGGACAGACATGCCCACAGGTCACTGTGCTCCAGGCCCCGTGAACACCAACACCATGTGCTGGCCCACAGAACAAAGGCCGCTCTTGCCCGGCACCAGGTAGGCACTGTGATGATATCACTTACTGTTACGTGTGCTGTTCTTCTACATGGAAACCCCTACCATCCACATACCACCTTGTACCACCCAAATGGCTGGCTCTGTCTTATCCTCTAGGTCCAGCCCGGCTCACCTGCCTCCCCAGCTGCCCTCTCCTGACCGCCCTATTGGACCAGGGTCTCTTTGTCAGGATCCCTCATCTGACGCGCAATGGTTTTTATAGCACCTGGCACAAGGCACAGGGAATTTTTGTTATGGGAAATGACTGAGTTAATGAATATACAGGGGTGGGCAAAAGTAGGCTTTCAGTTGCCCGCATGGAATGTAACACCATCATCAGTAAATAATAACACAAGAATAAACTCCGTGTTTTGCATACTCACAACTGTAAAATGGAGCGCCTAATGAATTGAGGTGGAGGGGCCCAGAAAGACACTTCAAGCCCACAGCAGAATTAGCCGTGCCCTGACATTCCCACCAACCAAAACTAAGTATTAGCATATCGTATCATCTTACCGCTTCATGAAGTAATAGTTTGTATATGACACGTTTAAAACTGTTCCGGTAGCTATATTTTAATATAATTGGTTTCCTTTATAATCCTATGAGTCTGATAACCATATTTAGAAATATTATTCTGAGAAGGGGTCCGTAGATTCACAAGACTGGCGTAAAAACTGCTAAGAGCCTCTGCAGAGGGTGAAGAGTTAAAGCCTGGGCGTGGGGGAATGGACACAGCAACTCCGCAGTTACTGCTAGGATCCAGGGAGAACTGCAGGGCAGGGCCCTGGGCAGGACCTATGGCTGCATGCAGTCAGGGGTCTGGGTTTGAGATTTCTCCCTGAGGAGGAGCTTCAGAGTCTGTGTGCTGGGTGATGGGGGCAGGGCACAGGTCTCTCTGATGGCTACACTTGTTTCCTTTCTGAAGGTCGTTTGTGGCTGAGAACAGCCCACATCTTGTTTATTCCAGCCCCTGGCAGCCAGCGTGGTGCCTGGCAGGCACCAGCGAATGGTTCTGACTTTTTATAATTTTCCCAAATGGGAACACATCTTTATTGTGAATGTTTATTGAATTGTCACAGCTGACGAAGAGAGCAAGGCCAGCTGAGGCCGCCCGCGTGTGGATGTGACACAGAGGAGAACAATACCTCCCTCCTGCACAGCACATGTCGTCATCTTGTTAATCACACGATGGTAATAATGGGGACCCATCCCATTTCCTGAGCACTGAGCAGGAGGCAGGCAGGTGCGTAAGAGATGCTCATAGCAACACTGCCCTGAGCCCACTGTATGGCAGATGCCATGCTCTTACCCTGGTATGCCATGCACGTCTCGATGACATCCAGGGTGGGCTCATCCTCACAGAGATCGTATGGCATGTTCCCATCAGCGTTGACAGCGAGCAAGTCGGCCCCACTGCAGAGAAAGGGCATGGTGAGGGCCAGGTAGGAGTGACTAGGGTCTGTCTGGCTACCTCTGCCCTCCAGTCTCTCATCCACAACCCCACTGTGTACCCAGCACCCACAATGCCACCAAAGTGTGCCCCAACATGCACAGTGACTTCAGGGTTCTTGGATTCTCAAGAACCTCAAATAGCAACCCCCCCCAAAAAAAACTTTGAAAAAGATCAAAAATGGAGAACTGATACTTCCTGGTTTCAAAGCTTACTACAAAGCTACAGTAATCAGAACGGTATGGCACTGACATAAAGGCCTATAGGAATAGAATATGGAGCCCAGAAAGAATAGAGAGCCTCTCACATACATGATTTAAGGATTTTGACAAGGATAGGAAAGAATGGTGCTGGAAAAACTGGAAATGATGCAAAAGAATGAAGCTGGACCCTTACCTAACACTATATTTAAAAAACTCACTTAAAAAGGATCAAGATCTTAATGTAAGAACTGAAACTATAAAACTCTTAGAAATATAGGGCAAAAGCTTCACAACATTGGATTTGGCAATGATTTCTTGGATATAACACAGGCAAAAAAAGAAAAAATAGATAAAATAGACTCCATGAAAATTTTAAAATTTTGTGCATCAAAAGACACTATCAATAGAGTAAAAGGACAACCTACAGAATGGGAGGGAACATTTGCAAATTATATATATGATAAGGGATTAATATACAGAATATAGAAAAAACTAAAATTCAGCAACAACAACAACAACAAAGAAAAACAAACAACCCCATTCAAAAATCAGCAAAAGACACTATTTTTCCAAACATATACCAATGACCAATAAGCACATGAAATGATGCTCAACATCACTGATCATTAGGGAAATGAAAATCAAAACTGCAATAAGATACCACCTCACATCCATTACAATGGCTACGATAAAAAAAAAAAAAACCAGAAAGCAAGTGGTTGTGAGGATGTGAGGAAATTGGAACTCTTGTGTACTCTTGGTGAGAATGTAAAATGGTATAGTGACTGAAAAAAAGTAAAGCAATTCCTAAAATAAAACCCTAAAAATAGAAATACCTATGATCGAGCAATTCCACTTCTGGGTACACACTCGAAAGAATGGAAAGCAGGGACTTGAAACACATTCCAAGCAGCATTATTCGCAATAGCTAAAAACGCAGAAGCCCCCAAGCATCCATTGGCAGATGAAAGGATAAGAAAAATGTGGTATGTCCGTATTCAATGCAATATTACTCAGCCTTAAAAAGGAAAGAAACCCTGACATATGTTACTACACAGTGAACCTTGAGGACATTATGCTAAGTGAGATAAAACCAGTCACAGGAAGACAAACACTATGCAATTCCACTTAGATGAGGTACCTAAAGTAGCCGAAACCACAGAGACAGAAAGTGGAATGGTGGTTACCAGGGGAGGGGGCGGGGGGAATGGAGAGTTATTATTCATGGGAACAGAGTTTCGGTTTGGGCAGATGAGTTCTAGAAACAGATGGTGGTGATGTTTGCACAAGGATGGAAATGTACTTACAGCCGCTGAATTGCACACTTAAAAATGGTTAAGGTAATACACTTCATGTTGGGTGCATTTTACTGCAAGAAAAGTCGGGGGGGGGAGAGAGGGAAGGGAGAGCGAGAGACTGAGTGAAAGAGACAGAGCGAGACCAAGAGTGAAGGAGAGACGGGGATGGAGAGAAAAGGATGAAGGACGCAGAGATGGAGAGGGAGAAAGGGGAACTGAGGGAAGATGAGGAGAGAGGCAAAGGCCAAGAGAGAAGGAGGCAGCGATGAAGACAGGATGCAGGGAGAAAGAGAAAGGGACAGGCACCGGGAGATGGAGAAAGGGACAGAAAGAGGGGGGAAAAGAGGAAGAAGGAAAGAGATGAAAGCAAAAAAGGACTTGGAAAAAACCGAAGGCAGAGGGGAGGCTGTTCCTGGGGAAGAGGGGGCACGTACTACTGAACGAGGATTTTCACCAGGTTGATGTGGCCGCAGGTGGCCGCGGCGTGCAGGGGAGTCCACAGCTCGTTGTCCTTGGCATTCACGTTCGCACCGTGGGAAAGGAGCAGCTTGACAATTTCCTCAAAGTTGTCGATGCAGCACTGTAACGGGAACACAGCGGGGTCAGCTCCAGGCAAGGCCCGGGGCCCAGGAGGGGACATACCTAGTTCCCTTGGAGAGGCCACGAGAAGGACAGCAGAGCCTGAGATTGAATTCAGCTCCAGTATTTATATGCTGTGTGATCTCGGGCAAGTCACTTAACCTATCTGAGCCTTCTTCCTTGTAAGTTAATAATGTACAGGATAAAGATATTGTTTTTGTAAAGGCAGCTATAAAATGCTTTGAAAGTGTTGGTGGAATGAGACAAATTTTTGAATGAGGCTTTACAACATTTTAATTCCAAGAAGGCCTTCTTCAAATGAAATTGTATGGAGAACGCTAACTTAGGATAACCAACAGATTCAAGCAGGGCTGCTCAGGTGGAGCAGTGGGCAGGGGGAAGCTGGGGAATTACGGGGTTCCCCTTCCCAGCAGTGTAGCCCTAGATCAATCGTAGTTTGTAACTTCTGACTTAGAAATTTCTGACTCAGGAGTTCAGTTCTTGGGGAAACCCCTAGTAACCAACCCTCCCCGTCGAGAACCCAGCTCTGCATGAAGGCTGGGGCTGGGGGTGGGGGCTGGAGTCCTGAGACAGTCCTTCCAAGGAGGCAGCCATGTTTGGGCACCTGCCTGCCCACACGTGGGTCAGCTGGCAGCGAGAGGGAAAGCCAGGAACCTGCAGCCTCCACATAGACTCAGGGGTCCAACAGCCACTGGAGCCCCCAACTCCAGGGACAGAGAATGAAAGAATCCAAGGGGACAGAGAGGCCTCAAGCCAGGGGGATGGGCAGGGAGAGGCGAGGACAGAGGAGGAAGGTAGGGGTCGGAGGAAGGTCAGGGGGACTTATGCCCAGCACTGCCCATCCAGGCAAGGGCTTGACCGTCAGTGTAGTGGGAGACAGTGCAGAGTTACATTGGGAGGCACAGCACAGCCAGACTTGCGCTTTTAAATCCCTCCTCTGGCTGCGTGTGGAGAACAGATTGCAAGTGCAGCAGCTTCTTTGGAAAGAAGAGAGACGGTTGGGAGCGACATTGATATCGCCAGGTGAGAGATGATGGCACCCTGGCTTACAGAAGTGACAGCAGGCACCAGGCACGGGGAGGAGTGACTGGATGCCCCAGAATGAGAGGGGCACTTGCGGGAGCCCACAGCCCCAGGTGGGTGTGGGGATGGGGAAGGGGACAGTGCAGCACTGCAGTCCCACCCCCACCCCCACTGGAGCCGGGGTTCAGCCCCAGAACACGTAGGGAAAGGAAGAGTCACTTGCACAGGTGGTGCCAAAGACCCAGGTTCCGCTAGCCAGTCTGGGATTGGCTGGGTCTGCGGGCATCTTCCCTGACAGTGGAGTACAGGTGACCCAAGAAGCTGGGGTGCTGCCTCAGATGATGGGGAGAAGCCTGCAGTGGCAAGGGACGGCCTACAGAGAGCGCCAGAGGCGCCTGAATGAAGCAGAGGGGAAAGGCCAGATCCCCAGGCTGGCTGTCACTGGGAGATGAGTCAGGGGAGCCCTGGGCCCTAGGGGATGGGGGTTAGGAGGGCCAGAGATCCCACCCTCAGGGGCTGCAGAAAACATGAGGATGGGGGAGGGAGCCTCAGGCTGAAGGGGGAGAGGATTGCTCACCCAGAATTGCAGACTTGTGATAGGCTGCACCTGGGAGACCAGGTCTAAGCAAGGGCTGGGTTGGGGGCTGGGTGCAGGCGTGCAGTATAGCTCTCGGGTGCATGGTGGAGAGGGCAGGCCACCCCTGCTGCAGTCCCCAAGGTGGGAAATGGCACCTGGGAGTTGGATGACTCCAGCACCCCCGCACTTCCCATGTCCAGTCTACCACCGGGTATGGACCCCCTCCCACTGGTGCCCCATCCCCCTGCCCTGGCTGAGGCCTGATGGCCCCCCCACCTCCCTGCTGCTCCCCTTTGGGAGAGAGTTTCCTCCTTAATCGCACAGACTTCTCTCAGTTGTCAAGTGAAGGCTCCCTGTCACCAAGAGGAGCAAATGCACCCCCCTTCAAAGGCAAAGGAAGCTCTTCTTAACGTGCTCCTTAGGTGCACTGGAGCGATAGTGACAATGACAACGATGATGGAAATGACAGCCCCGGCAACACCGGTGTAGACGCTAACACGCTGCCTCATCCATAAGAACAGCTGACGCTTTCTGTGTCGTTACTGGGGACATGCACCTCGCCGACCCTTGCCCAGGCCTCGCCTCGTGTCGTCCTCAGAACACGTCGAGGGCTCGAGAGCCACTCTGGCTGCCGGCTACCACACTGGATACTGTGGACACACAGGACACGCCATCGCAGAGCTACACGGTGCTGCGCCTGAGCCTCAGTGTCCTGAACTCTGAACTGGGGTCACGCCTCAGAAGGCTGCTGTGAGAAGCAGCCCACGCCTCACATAAGCGAAGTGCCCTGACAGAGAAATGGACCTGGAACAAATTTTAGTAATATCTAATATCCATCCAGTATCAAGTGATGCTCACGGGGTTTTTCTGTGAATTCGCTTAACCGCCGTAACAACCCAGCGAGACAGGGAGTTACTATTCCTCATTACAGACGAGGAAAGTGAGGCACAGAGAGCTTAAGCAACTTGCCCAAGGACACACAGCTGGAACTTGTGCACCCCTGAAGGAACAGGAAGAGAAGCTGAGAGGACAGGCACACGGGGAGCCAGAGGGCTGCGGGCTGAGGGTGGGGACCAGCCCCTGGGGCTCATGGGCAGGGCAGCGGCCCATCACTCCTCACCCCTTCCTGCCCTCAGGGAGGGAGATGGAGTGGCTCTCCCCGGCCCAGGATCCCGGCAACCTGGCCTCCCACCTGCTCAGACACCTGGGCCAGGGCACAGAAGGGCTCCCGTGTGTTCGTTCATCAGGTCGGCACGCACATATCAAGCCCCCACTGCGTGCCTGCTTGGTTGGGGAAGGATGCCGGGATACACCACTGAGCAGGAGACACGGGCTCTGCCCCGTGCGGCTCAGAGTCTGGGTGGGAGGGCCAGCGCCAAGTGACCGCACTGATGGATAAGAGGGGAGCCCAGGAGAAAAGGACATGTGTGGAACAGCATAGCTCTCGGGCTCTTGCTGTCGACGGTAGCCAATCAGCACACATGGGAACGTGTGGAAGGGATCCACAGAGTGCGGGCCAGCAACCAGAGAGCCATTTGGCTGGAGCTCGGGGAGGAGCCAGGAAGCATGGAGGCTCGTCAGGGCAGACCCCGTGGGGCCCATCTGGTGGGCCATGCCACCAGAGTGCTCTGAGCGACACCAGATTTTTGGCTTCAGCATCTCTGTGGCTGCCGCATGGAGAAGGGATCACGGCAGGGCCAACCAAGTGCTGGGGACCAGACCAGTTAGGAGGCGGATGCAGCATCCAGGGGAGAGATGACAGCCAACCAGGGGGGCTGAACCCACCCCACTTTCCTAGAAAGGATGTTTGCTGTGCTAGCACATGGCTCACAGCTAGAGTTCGTGACTGTGTGACCTTAAACAGGTCACATAGCCCCTCTGTCAATCACCGTTGTCAGCAGAATGGATGGATGGATGCCACAGTGGCTGTGAACAAATGTGCTTCGTAAACTGTCAAGCTCCAGACAAACTTGCTTTGTTTGCCAAGCCCCTTGCTGGGCAGTGAGGAGGCAGTGGACAAAGGCTCCCTGTCCTCGGGGGCTGTGTGTACGCTGTGTGTGCGTGCACGGGGGCTCTGTGGGTGTGTTTGTGACAGACACACACATCTCCAAAGCAGACAAGAGCCTTTCAGACGGGACAGCTGCGGCTCCCCTTCCCTCCATCCTCCCTGAGGGTGCTGGGCAGGCAAAAGCAGGAAGGTAGGGGACCTGCCCAGCTGGGGAGCAGGGGGGCAGGGACTCCTGTCAGCCCAGCCTTACCTGGTGTAGGGCTGTGAGTCCATCCTCGTTGCACAAATCAGGGCTGACCTTGTTCTTCAGAAAGTAGCGCACTGCAACAGAGAGGACAGGAGTGAGCGTCCCGTCACACGTCAGGTGTGCAGGTGGGCAGGGCAGGTGCAGGGAAGACCCACTCTCCCCAGGTCCTGACACAAAGGATGTTGCTTGTTTATACCGCTTGGGGCCATTATAAATAAACATTAGCCCCATCACCAACTGCTAGAGCCCTTCCACAGCTCCCCATCACTCTAGGAACAGGGTCAAACACCCTCACCATGGGTTTATCCCTGCCTGCAGGCCCCATCTTGCATAATTCCGGTGGGTCCCACTCACACCGTGGTCCGTAAGACTGGCACCCCTGGGGCAGGGCCGTGCCCAGCCGGCTCAGTCCTGCACAGTGCTCCTACCTACCCACCTCTCCAGTCTCATTTCGTAAACTCCAAACGTACCTTCCACAGTGGTCTTCAGTCACCTACATAGTTACCATACTTCCCCCGGCCTCCAAGCTTTTGCATAGTCTATTCCCACTGCCTGGAAGTCATCAACTCATTCATCACCCATCCACCATCCACCCATCCACCCTCATCCACGCATCCATTTTTAGCACGTGCATGCACACACGTGTACACACACCCACACACAGCTCCTCACCCCACATCCTTCAGGTCTCAGCTCAAACTCCCCAGACAAGGGCACTCCCCCTGTTAGACATGCCCACCGCTCCTGTGCACCTCAGGGACAGCCTTATCACGACTACAATCATGGAACTAATTGGGTAATTATGGGCTTTGGTTCTGTCTGCCACAGGACGCTAGGCTCCAAGAGGGCAGGACCGTGACGACACTTACTGTTCTTTCCTTACGGCCTGGTGCACAGTAAGTCCTCAACACCCCTTCCAGGACCCTGACCTCATCAGCAGCCCTCTAGCTCAGCCCTAAGGCACAGTCTCTGGACACAGAGTCTCCCTCTCTAGGCCAAGCAAGCCACCCTCTGGTGGCTCGTGTCTGTGATAAGCAGCATAGCCCATGGTTCCCTCCTGTGGAGCTGTGGGTCACCTGGTAGCTGGTCCCAGCCTAAGTGCCATGAAAAAAGATTATGGCAAAGCCACTGATCGCCAAGGCCTGGCCTGTCTGTGGGCCTGGGAGGGTGCAATGGCCTTTGGAGAGTAGAAGTGGCCATTATGTCCCTGTCTGGGAAGGTTCTATTCACATGAACAAGGGTTCAAATCCCATGGGGGCGGGTCTGTCCAGGCTTCCTGTCTGTCCAGGACATAGTCTTTGAGGCAGAAATTAAGCTTCAGCTGCCAAAAGTGACTTGTGTGCACAGTAATTATTGGGGTGTCCTCCATGCTGAGTGGGAAACCAAGATATGTAATTACTCCAACGCCGGGCAGTTATTTTCAGCCCAAGAGGTGGGACAACTCACTCCATCTCTAGGGAGCCCTTACTACTCATAAGCCACGGTCCTCTCAGTGGTTCTACTTCTGCTCTAGCTCAGAGCCCGTCTCTGGACACAGCTCCCTGGAGCAAAGACCCGCCACCCAGGGCCCAACCAGGCTCTCCTGCCTCGGGGGTCCAGCAAGGAAAATGATCCTTCTGTCAACAGTGTCTTCTCACTGAGCCATTCCTATGCCCCCAGGTCAAGGCAGAACCATTCTCTGCCATGGATTCTCATCTGTAATTATTCCCCTTAAGGAGAAGAGGAGGCAGAGGGTCAGGGAAGCGCAGCTCACAGTCACACGTGGCCAAGGGGGGGAAATCGGACCCTCAGACTTCAGAGCTCAGGATGATGGGCATGGAGTGGCCCTGCTCTGCCCCCGAGGCCGGGAAGAGGAACCAGCATGGCTGGGGCCCTGCTGAGTGGCCAGACCTGTGCTGAGAGCTGTGCTGGGGACAGGGGTGACTGGAGAATGGAAGGCAATGTCCCCTTCGTCTTCAAGCACCAGAGGCCCTCAGGTCCTAGGCCAAGCCTCCACCTACAGATAGAAGGGCTTAGGGAACCAGAAAGAGGACAGAAGAAACATTGCCCGGGGTGGGGGTGGGGCATAGTCATACTCGCAGGGCCATATTAAGTAGAAATCTGTTCCCTCTCATTCTCTGCTTAAAACCCTCTTGAGGCTCCACGTTGCTCTTAGGTGAAGTTCAAAATCCTCTGTGGCTTTCACAGGGGTCGTCAGTGTATGGCCCATGGACCCGATCTGGCAGGCAGCCTGTGTCTGTAGATTAAGTGTTATTGGAACGCATCCTCACGCATTCATTTACGTGTGGCCCACGACCGCTGTCACCCCACGGCAGCAGAGCTCAGTAGCTACGGCAAAGACCTATGACCCACACAGCCTGAAATGTCTACTCCCTGGCCCTGTACTGACAAGGTTTGCAGACCCTGGTCCTCTGGGTCCTGCACGGAGTGGCGCTGCCTACAGGGTGACCACCTTGCCTAACTCCGGGGAACCTGTGCAGTCGCCGTGTGAATGGCTGGCTGGTTCTGGCGTTGTGCAGGGCACAGCCCGCTCAACGGCACCCAGGGGCCCTGTCTCCCCCCTCTCCAGGATCATCTCCTGCTCTCCAAGCACCTTGCACAGGGGAGGAAGCTGGCTTGGCAGGGCCTGAGGGGTCGCCTGAGTCTCAGGGAGCACAGAGAGGGGGCAGGCGTTCCCCTCCAGCCAGGCCCAGCTACCACTTCTGCTCACTGTCCACACTCAGGTCTGCTCCCTGCCCACAAGCTTGGCCATCTGTTTGCCAGAGTGACCCATCTGTCCTCACACATTTGTTTAGCTGTGGCTTCAGGCAAGTCATTCCTCCTCTCTGCACCTCAGTGTCCTCCTCTGTGAGATGAGGTCACAGCTGCGCCTCCTTTGTGGGGCTGCTATGAGGATTAAGTAAGACAACACTAGAGAGCCACCCCTATCATTCCTTGTAGAAATAAACATAAAGCACAACCACTGAGCTCCTGTCTGATCCCGCCGTGTGCTGGGAGCTGGGAACATAACCACTGACGTGTTGCATTTCTCAAAGCTCTCCACGCGATCATAAAAGACAGACGCCATCTCTCTCCAGGGGGCTCTGAGCAGCTGCTGACTCAAGGACCCCAGGGAGCCCACCGTCTATGTCTCCAAGCCTTCCGTACAGGCAAGGCCCCACGGTGACGGCAAAGAGGCGGTTCCCGCCCTCCTCCTGTGCTTTGCCGCTCCTGGCGCCAACCCCGCCGCTCTGCCCACACCTCCCTGGCAATCTGGCTGGAATCTGGGCCAGGCAGGGCCATCTGCTCCCCTGCATCTCCAGCTGTAGCGAGTGAGCCTGAACAGGCCCATCTCGGCAGGAAGCTGATGGTGGCTGCCTAGGCGGGGAGAAATCACCACTGACAAACGTGTGTTTTCTTTGCACCCTGACCCACTCTGCCGCCCAGAGCAGACTGCCCGACCTCGGGCTGCTCAGCACAAACGCAGGTGTGGTTCCTGCTCCTGCCTTGGGGAAACGGGGACAGCCAGACAGAGGTGTCTGCCCCTGGAGAGGGACCTGGGGCAATCAATCGACATCTGCCCTCCTCCTCCCTTCCCGTCTTGCTTCCTTTCCCGCCCAGCTCCCAGCAATGTGGCCTCCAGGGTGCTGCGAGCCCCTGCCTCCCCTCAGCCCACACCTCCCCTACCACGCCGCCTCTCTCCCCAGTCACTCACTGATTCAGTTACAATGGCTTCATTTCCCAAAACAAAACAAAACAAAACAAAATGAAACAAAAACAGCTCCTCGAGGCCTTTACACACACACACACACACACACACACACACACACACACACACACTTTCTTCCCATTCTTAAGCCAGCAATTTCCTCTTCATCTGCCAGATTCCAGCCAAAATGGCACCTCCTCGTACAGGCCTTCCCTGATCACACCGATCTTGATCTAGGTGCCTAAGTTCTTTTCTCCCAAATACCCTGCATTTCTGCATTTTTGCTTCACAGCACTGCCTCTCACAGTTTGTAATGACAGGGTGATGAGTTAGTGTGTAAGAATCGTGTAATTATTTGTTTAGTTTGGGGGACTCCACCAGGGCAGGGACGTGTCCGTCTCCTTGGCCGCCGTCCCCACTGCTCTCCATGAAGCCTGGCTCACAGCAGAGATTAAATATATATATATATATATACCTGTTCTAGCGAGAGCACCTGAAATGTACTCTCTTAGCAAATTTCTAGCACTTGACACATCATCATCATCATTATTATTATTATTAACTAAAGGTCGCCACGCTGCACCTCAGCTCACGATGCTCATCTGTCCTGCATAACCGCACTGTGCACCTCCGACCGACATCCCAAAAATAGTAACGGTACAGGGCAATGGATATGCTAATTAGTTTGTACTAATCATTTCACTACATACACACACATCATGTTGTCCAGCTTAAATGTCTACATTTTATTAAAAAATCAACATTTAAAAAAATTTTTAAAGAAATGTCTGTTGTGTGAATGAACTAAGGAAGAGATAAGGGGAAGATGAATGGTCTAGGCCCCCAGGGCTGCTTGCTCCTAGGGCCATGGGCAGTGAGACCATGGGGCAGTGGGGCCATGGGGCAGTGGGGCCATGAACAGTGAGGCCATGGGCAGTGGGGCCATGGGGCAGTGGGGCCATGAGCAGTGGGGACATAGGGCAGTGGGGACATGTTCTCTTCTTGGGGACATATGCACAGACCTGCAGATATGAGGCACCGCAAGGAGTGCGACTCAAGGGCTGAAAAGCAACTAGAATGGATCCTGTACAGAAACGAAGCAGCGAATGCCCCTCCCTGGGCCCACGTTGTCGTTGCAGCTGGACCTGGCAGCTGACCGTAGGAGTCCCTCTGCCCCACTCCCGGGCTCAGGCACCTGCCGTTCTCCTCCTGCCCAGGGTCCCAGTCCTCACTCGCCCTGCCCCGCACCCTTGTTCTTTCTACCACCCGGCACTGACTGTGTGCCAGGCACGGTGCAAAGCACTTTACGCCCATCAGATTGATTCGTCCTCCTAATGTAGTTATGAGGATTAATGACCTACTAGTATTAATTAACTGCCTGCTATT